CATTTGAAATGTTTCTTTTCTCTGGCTGTCTTCTGTCATGCCGGCCTGTATGATAACTGTCAGTGTCAATGCATATGATGTTTGTCAATCATCTTGCACTACGGCCCGGAGTTACTTTGTTCTCCTGCCGCTGATCACACTTTATGGGTGCGTAAAGAAATGACACGATAGTTACAAAAGATTTAAACCTTAGCCATGAGAATACACTGGGTAGACAGTATCAGCATTATATGTTCAGGTTAAGAGGCCCCTAAGAGCCAATTATGGTCAAAGTGTGTTATCAAAGAGAAAAGAAAAACTAGGTTACAATTTTGGTAGAATGGCTCTGCCCTAGATTTCTCTTGAGATGGCAATTTTTGCCACATTATGTAGCAGTCAAATCTTCACAGTCTTAGTGTAGAGAAGACGTCTGCTGCCACGCATTTGAGTAAAACATTATTCGTGTACGGCAAATAAAATATCACATAATAACATGAAATCATGCACTGAAGCAGAATTTCCTGAGATGGAACTAAACCCTCGGATATATATCTCATTTTGTGAACATATGCCATAACAAATGTAATAATGAAAATCAGTTTCTTTCCACAGTTGCAAGTCTACTCAATATCTTCAATACACATTAATAATAGCGAGGTGGAACGTGACTACGAGCAGAGCAGGTGTAACTTATATTACAACCAAGGACATTTCATTTGGACTTAATAGTAAGATAGGCATTCCGCGTCAGTGCTGAATAGTGTAGCAGGTAATTCCTTTTCTAGTGGAAGTGCAGCAATAAATGTAAGTTTTGAAGATCAGAGGCTACATGTTTTTGTCCTGTGAAGTTGTTTAAATCCAGACGTGGACCAGTGACGTTTCCTATCACTGAAAACATTTAGTCCTGTTCCTTCTTTCGTTTTACACAACAATATAAGAAACGCTAAAGTAGCTTAAAGAGAACATAAATGTGATATCTACTTAATACTCACTTAATAAAATAAGTGGTACAACAATAGTGTGTCAAGTGTGTTAAAAAGCAATAATTATATTTATTTTACTTTATTATAAATCCTTTGTAATTGATCCTTCTAACGTGTATTGTCTGTATTTCCGAAGTCTGACAAATCTTATCCCTCAGCTTCATTATTGTCCAAAACCTATTAAAAACACATCAGTGAGCCACACAGTTGCACTGGGTGACCAAATGTGTATTTTATTGTCCTTGACAAATGAAACATTGACTTTTGCTCGAGTAACCTTTGATAAAAACTGCAGCTGGTCTGGGAAATTATTAAGGCTTTTATAGAAATTAAACTATATATTTGCAATATGTTTTAAAAGATTACACCTTTATAGGAACAAATAGGCTTGTTGTTGAGTGTCACAGGCAGGGTAGAGGTGTCAGAAAGTAATAAATGACAGGCTAGCAGACTGTTGGATTTGGTGTTTTCACAGGATTTTGTTGGCAATAAGAAAAACATAGAACATTTTAATTTAATGTCTTCAGTATTTATGCGTTGACAGATGGTTAAACCTCAGTATCTACTATCCAATTTAAATATAAGCTTTCTAAATCAAAGTTATTTTGTTGTTTAATCTCCTAATTGTGAAATTCAAACTGGAAAATCCACCTATGCTTGTGAACAAATACAGAGAGGAGTTTAGACATGAAGGAGATTAAACATTGTCCTTAAATATGTTATTTTCCTCCCACGACCCCTGTGTGAAGAGATTGGGATCCACTATGTGAACAAGCATTAGGGAAGCCACTGGTTTAACACCTTCCGAGCTACACATGTTAGATTCATATAGACAGAACGGCCCTTGGGGGTTTTGCTGCATTATGGACAGCTTTGCTTCACACGATCAGCCTGCACACATACTGTTAAGTTGCATGCAAACCATAGGAGAAGCCCAGAAGAGCCAGCTGTCTCACATTGAATTTTTCAAAAGGTGATCATTGCAAGAGCTTTGGAAGATTGTTGTATTTTAGAATTTCAAATGTCTTCAAATGTGCACCAAAACAAATTCAAAATAGCTGCTTTTTAAAAGCAGCTGTGTTGCACTGAAGAATACTTTAACATCGTCATAAACCAGAGGAGATACTGGCCAGCAGCTTTCATTCTGCATAATTAATGAGTCTGTTTAAACTGCCACGACTGAACATTTTGAAACATTTAATTACTTATATATCTAGTGTGTGGTTTGTGTGAAAGCTTTGTGTAGTTTTGTGGTCAATTGTAAAACAGGAAATGCCATTTCTGTAAAAATGTTCCACGTCTCTTTTTTCTTAAGATTAAAGGCCAAGCTCTCACTTCTGTTAGAGAGATGTTCTTATAACAGGTTATATCACTGGGCAATAAACCAGAAGGACACCTGAGCTACAGTACTGAGATCAGGTATCGGTCCAAGTGTGGAGCCCTGGGCTCTGCAGCTCCGGCGATCAGCACCAGAGTACCTTTTCACACTCATTTAAGCAGCGAGAGTGACCTTGTTTATTAAAATCAGTTTGTCAAAGTCGAGCAGCACACCGGAAGTATTAGGAAAAGCACATCTCAATCCACTGGGGAAAGCTGTCCAATTATTTAGGGACAGTTTGGCGAGAAGCATTTGTCCCTCCTTGTAGACAATTAGAAAGGCAAATGATCAATTAAAAGAATCTGTTGCCATGGAGTTTGTTCAGCTTACGCTGGCCCTGTGACATCCTCTCTCGAAAGCAGTTTGCAGTGTCTGCTGTGGAGATTCAACTTTACTCTATTAAGTCCAGATTTTCATCTGATGTTTTTTTATTTTTTGTCTGCCAGCAGAAAGAGGTCAGACACAAAGGTCATAATAAGTGGCAACATCCCAGTTTCCCCGGAGGAATCATTAAAATTTTATCTAATCTAATCTAATCGTCTGAGAGACTTGCTCTAATTGAGGAAACAAAGGGATAATGTTTTAAGCCTGAGTCTTTTCCGGTGTGGCGTCAGAGAAGAGGATTTCTCTCCCAGTGATCTGTTCAGGGACAGTGATTTGAAAATGAGGTGACATGAGTTGACCACGAGCAGTCACTCTCTCATCTGGCGGTGTTTTCTATTTGTGTCAGCCAACATGTGTTTCTCATGATGGGACCTGACACCTCCCCTGGAGCACCGCGGAGCATGAAGAGCAACAAAGTGGAGATGCTCGGAGAAACACACCGACTGCAAATTACACTGTGATGCCTGCTCAGGAAAATGTCTACAGATAATGTGCATTTTGAAAGAAAAATCCACCTTGTACTCCATGAGTGAATTTACTAAATCAAATGTTCGCCTCTCCTCCCTCCTAAATTGGTTGGGTTTTTTTACTTGAGTGCACAGTATGTGCTAAGTCACTTTGACCTCTGCATATAATGTCTGGAACTTAGTTTTTCCCCGGGCTGAATGTCTGCGTGAAATGGATTTATTGTTAAGGATGGGGAGGGTTTTACCACATTGCAAAAGATGACTTAACAAATATGTGGAGTTTATACTTAAGTGGAAAAGTGCCAACTTTTACTCATCATCCATTTTTAAGACATTACTATTAATAACTTGTTATTTCATTGTATTGCACTGAAGCTGAAGTAAGTGTGAAACAGAGAAACAGACAAGTGAGAGTTCCACTTTTTATCATCCAACTGTTTAAGATTCTAATGGCTTGTCTGATATTGGATTAAGCCTTTCCAACTTGAAAGCGTGGCTTATTGGCGGTGGGCCTCTCCGGAGCAAGGTGGCCGAGGCACCCAGTGGCATAGGTAGTGACGTACGTATGTGCAGCAGCAATGAATCACTGGGAGACAATGCCCCTCGCTCAGCCTGAGCTGTTTGCAAATGCACATTCACTGAATACAACACAGGTCAACTGGGAAACAGCTGTGGAATCATTAGTGTGGTGAAATATGCAGAAAGAAAAGAAGGTCCCGCAGACTGCACCACAATATATACCTGTGGTACCAACCAGGTATTTGATTCACCTCCAATATGTTTAGTTTCTTTAATTATTCATCATTATTGCATCATCGCTCTATAACTACTGCCAAGTTCATCAATAAGAACAGTCACTGTTTGTTATCTAATAAGGAATAGTTTTGTACATAGTAAATCTGATTCTGAACATGAGCTGTGACTGAGAAACACAATTTCAAACTTATCTTTTTCAAACTTATTCCTCTTATACTCTTCCAATCCAATCTTCCAAGAATTATTTATTATAGAATTATTATTAACTAACTAATTCAAGTAAAAATGCCAGCAGGTGTGGCACCTATAGGGCTGAAAGCACAGAGGTAGACGCTCGTGCACGCGCGCGCACTCTCACATATGACTCATCTCATCTAAACTAAAGCCCTTTGTCAGAGGCGTCCATTCACGTTACACCCATGCAAGAACGCGCAGACTCAATCTCAGCTCGGTGCGCGACACTTATAGTGAGGCTGGCTATATAAGTCCATTCAGCATCTACTCTTTAAGTAACTATATACTTGTTTCTTCTAAGAAGTGAAGGAGGGCGGCATCTCGCCAACTACCTGGCAACCTACACGGCTGTACTGGACCTCCTCTAAAGATTGAAGGTATGAAAAGCTTCATTTATTTAATACATATTGTGAGTTTGTCTGCATGCCTTCTTTGGCAGGTTACATTTTCTCGTTTTCTCGGCGCAACTTGACTCAGAAAGAACAGATCTTTGGTTTCACAAACGTTCTAACAAATTGTTGTCCTTAGTAATTGCTTGGATTTTCAAACTTGATTTTGTTTTATAGACCTGGAAACAAGCATAGATTGCAGGCAATAATAGTTAAACTTCCAGTTTATCCATTACTGTGCCAGAAATCCAGTCTCTAGTCTTTTACGCACGAAATATCCCAGATTGAATTAATGCGATGACTGTTTTACGTGCGTAAATCTCTCATTACGCAGCACATTTCACACCAGAACTGGGATAAAAAAAGGAACATGACATGAAAATAATCCAGGAATTTGTTTTTCTTCTCAGATTCCTGCTGATATCCTGACATGAAGCTCAATTTACTTGGTACCACCGTGATTCTGCTAGTTGCCTTCTTACCCCGCTACGAATGTCGGGCTATTGAGAGCCCTGGCGGTGCCCTGCGCGTCCCAGCTCCCCAAACCCAAAACTCCCAGCAGCAGCAGCAGTCTGGCCCCATCCTGGAGCGGCTTGGAGAGGAGTATTTCATCCGACTGGGCAACGGGGACTCTAACTCTTTCCCATCATCGTCCATGTATCCCGGCGGATCACCTGCCATCTACAACAGAGCTTTGCAACTCCAGCTGACGCGGCGTCTTTTACAAGGGAAAGTTGGGAACATCAGGGCGCTCATAAGCGGCTTCGGAGACCGCGGGGACGAGTCGATGGAGAGGGGAAGGAGGTCCGAGGATCCGCCGATATCCCTGGACCTGACCTTCCACCTGCTCCGGGAGATGATGGAGATGTCCAGGGCGGAACAGCTGGCCCAGCAAGCGCAAAACAACAGAAGAATGATGGAGCTCTTCGGGAAATGAAGACCTCTTTCCAGTCCGCCAAAGATCTCCTTTCCCTATCTTTTCTTTTCTTTTTTGCATTTTTACCATCAGCACACAAAACGTTCTCTGTACAATATAGTGCTGCTTTATCACTCTATTATTTATAGCTTTAACCTCAAACTATGGAGCTTAAACGGGCTTGACTTATGATCCGATTGTACCTTGCCATTTTAATGTTGGTGTCAAATCTGTAGAATTACACCGTTCTTCATATTTGAGATGAAATACTTTTGGTTAAGACATGAAATACTGCATTGACAAAATTGGCATTTTGTTTTAGATTATGAATCACTGTATTTATGATATTTATGTTTGTTAATAAACTTATGTGCAACCAGTCATTTTCTGTTGTGCAAGAGAACGTCTTATATCTATATTTTTTAATAAAAAATTAAAAGCAATGCTTACATTTCTCTGTCGATATCCTTACATGAGTTAATAATAACTCCCATGAAAACGAATTATTCCCAGTTACTTTAATTATTAATTTTTATTAACATACACTTTCCTAATGTTTGACATACAGATTTGTAATCTTACATTGGAGAAATATACATTAATATAGGTCTACAGGTTCAAGGTAAAAAACAAACAAACAGTTGGTTGAGCACACATGGCCACAGCATCTTGAGTCTTGCCTACACAAATATTGATTGATAGAGAAAGGTTTTTCAAACTGAATATAAAAGTATTATATGGTGTAACCATGGCATTGCTCTGGAGCCAAGTCGTGGGTTAACACTGTGCCGCCTCTCTAACACACACACAAAAAGAGCTGTAACAACAAAAAAAATTGCCGAAGTGGTTCATAAGGATGCTGTAGGAGCGCCTGCAGTCATGCAGGTGAAGAACATTCATGCAGCATCCTTTCTCCTAAACCCTTAATCCTCAAGAAGCAATTCTCATTATAGCAGTAAGAGGCAAACACAGCTAAAAGATTCACCACTGATAGGTAATGAGTGTGAAAGACACTGTGTGTGTGTATGTATGTGTGTGTGTGGGTGCATGCTGTGCTGATCCTTGACCCACAGTGTCAGGGTAAACTAAACAAGAGCTGTGGGTGTGAGTCATCCTATTCTGTTTGGCCCACTTAGCAACTTGGGGCTTAGTGCTGCATTGTGCCCATTTGTAAAGGATCCAACTCACTCACACAATAATTAGATGGGACTGCCTCAATAGTGGAGTCACAGCAAGGTGAGACCATCGCAGGGCAGCAAATAGAGCAACTGGCATTCTGCTATGTATACAGTGGGTTGTGGGCAGGAATGGTATCACGACAATACAGTAGAACGGTCTGAACAAGCTATAAAGTGACACTGCTGCGTTCTCCACATGAATATCCTTGGACAGAAATATATGAAAAAGAGTGTAAAGAAAAGAGAAAAATATGTATTTTTCCTGTACACATGTGTACACACAGACACACAAACTGGTAGGGTGTTACACAAAATCAATTTCATTGGTAATTCAGTCCAGGCAGAAAACAGTGACACATGTGGCAAGTGAGTTATGTTTTGTAATCTCGTATCAACCAATGAACTTGAGAAATATCTATATTCAATTCTGTTTTAATGACACAGAAGATTTATTACACCATAATTAGGCAAAATGTGATGTTTTGTCCATAATTCGAAAAAAGAAACAAAAAACACCTGTGTTACACAACAAAGAACACAACACATAATACAGGCTGTTGCATGTATGAAACACTGAAATGTCACAGCGATAGTTTTATACTCTGCTACCCTACTCATAAAGTTATATCTGCCATAAAAAAGTATACGATAAGGAGGGAAACCTGAGGCCCCCTTGTCATGCTCTCTAATGATGTAGTTTAAGCAGTGAGTCGCAAAAGGTCAGCTACATAAAAAAATTCTGAACACGTCTGAAATCTGGGAATAACCAAGAGACACTCGTAGCCTGTCTGTCATTCAGCACGTAAAAAAATAAAATAAAAAACACCTAAAAGAGAAACCAAAATGTGTATTTAATCAGACAAAAAATGTACCAGTCAGTATGCAGTGATGCAAGCTAACACAATCACAATAAAAGAGAGAGAATAGAATTTAAACTTCTGTCTCTTCCTTCAGATCTACCTCAGTAACTCAGACTTTCCCTTCGGCACAGATCTAAATCCGTCTCGCTGTTCCCCAATCTGGGAGAAAAAGTATCACAACTGACCTGAAATCAACATCTAGGAGCAAAACTTATCCTGCTCCTGGGTTTAGGGTGTTGTTGGGGCCGGCGGCTGACAGCTAGGTCGAAGCAGCGCTCTTGGCTGCGCTTGTGGAGGAGTTCACCTGCTGGGGGGCAGAAGGTGGGACGGGGGCGGCGGTAACAGCGCTACTTCCTGAAACAGTCTGGGCCCCCTCTCCTTCCTCCGCGGCCGCTTCTCCATCCTCATCCTCTTCGTCCTCATCTTCGTCATCTGTAGAAAGAATAGGAAGCGATATAAAAGTCAAGATACATACAATGGTGAGTTTTAAGCAGTAAATTGCTGCCATCACCAACTCTGTCCTTTCACCTTGGATGAAGTCAATGCTGCGCAGGGCCTTGCCCTCTCTCTTGAACTCGATGTTGTAATGATCCATATTCTCATAGCCACGCTCGACTTTGTCCAAGTGTGCTGTACTGGATGCTTCTGCAATCCTGAGTGCAGAGGGTGCAATTAGCATATTTATTGGGGGAAAGAATTCACCGTCAGACAGCCAATGTAACACTTGTTATATATAATCAATCTGTGATGTTTAGCACATTCCACAAGTTATTTTGGGATGCAACAGCTAAAGATAGTTATATGCCACATTTAACAGAAGTACTTTCGACAGCTCCCAGAGAGCAGGTGTGATCTTGCTGCATTAGGTTGGTGGTTTTATGTGGAGGTGCAGGTGTAAATTTAGCAAATCATTCACAAGGATATGAACAAAAAACACCCTGCAAACAACAAAAAGACACTAAAAAAGACACACGCAGCAGTAGTTATTAGTGTGTTACAGTCAGAAAGTATTTTGACCTTAAAATGACAATACGCTCTTTTTTTTTTTACATACATTTCCCCTTACCCACCGTCAGTGTAATTATTGATGCATACAAACATGTACTCACTTTTTGAGGAGAGGCTTTGTGTTCTGAAAGACACAAGAGAAAGAAAAGACAAATTATCCATTCAGCTTATACATAAAATAATAATAACTGTAGCCATTTTATGTTGAGTTTGAACCTAATTTGGTATCTGACCTGTAGAAATAAAGCCATTTCAGGCTCCTCCATTGTTTGGATCCCCTTCTCTACAACCTTACAGCTCTCCTCCAGATGGTCTCCGTACTTCCTGGTCAGGTCCCGGATATAGTTCACCTTCTCTTCCTGTTCGACTGTCACCTTCTGACTCATCTCCCTCTTCTTATCCTCCAGGATGGAGTACAGCTGGTCAAACTTCTCGCACACCAGAGTCTTCTGCCTCCGACCATTCTCCTATGCACGCGAGTGAGAGACAGACGGAGACACATGCACTTACATGTGGGAAAACTATAAATTCTGAAAGTCCATCTATGTATATTAATCATTCATCACAGTCTTGTAGGTGAGAAATGTATGGAAATGCAACATCTTGGGTACAACAGAGTACAGAAAACCAAAGAAAATGAGGTAATAGCTTTCTGTGTACGGCCGTGTAAATACTAACAAGTGTTCTGGTTATCCTGTCTTCCGCCCATCCGGTTGTGCCATATGCGCAGGGAGGACAGTGAAGCTCATTCTGCGTGTCCGTCCACTGTAGGTGACACATGGGGGACTGGAGTCACTCCAGCTTCCTCCCTACTATGTCCAACTGTGGCACGTGAACCATAGGAAAGCTGTCTGTTCTCCCTCCATCAATTACACTGCTCATTTTTAATGTCAGTGGGCCACAGGCAGAATGAAGTGCCCTGCTAAGTGCATGTAGAAGAAAATGTGGAAAAGAGAGCGTGAGACAGACTGAGGCATCAAGACATTAATTTTCATCCCTCCACCTCTCTGTCTAGATCTCACAGACAGATAAAAGCAGAGAGAGTGGCGGTGACAAGGACACATTACGCCTGTTTGTATGTCTGTGCAGGTGAGTGCAGGTGCATTAGCGTGTGCACAGAACAAGTGCGTGCTGCGTGAGTGAGCGGCCAGGCGCTGCAGCAGTTGGACACTGACCTCTATGGCACGACAGGCTTCCTCGAGCTGACTAATGATGCCTTGCATCCTGTCGTTGTTACCAACCATCATGGCAATCCCGTCACTCAGCTCCGTCTGGGGGGCAAGGACATGGCAGAGTAAATACGTGAGATCTGACCTGACTTAATGTAGGTAAGGGTGAAACATAGGGTCAGAATGAGATCTATCTATCTATCTATCTATCTATCATGATGGACAGTGTTCCTCACCTTCTTTGTCTCATAGATGCTGGTGATGGGTTCCACCTCACAGTCTTTGTGGGCTCCAAACACCTTACACATGGAGCATGTGGGCACGCCATGGGTGACGCAGTAAATGTTGATCTTTTCTTCCTCGTGAACCTCACACATGGGCATCTCTCGCTTTCTCTCCGGCGCCGGTTTGCTGCTGTTGAGGTTGAAAGGAAAAAAAAACAAAAAAAAAAACGGTGGTAACTTCCGGTCAAAGCCGTGCATTTCAGCGCATACTGATGTGACGTGTAATGTCAGTTTGATAATGTCACAGGTACACATCTCAGGAGTTCATTGATGATCCATCAGCCTCGCCGTGCCATGCACATTGACTGTCGGCGCTGTAATCGATACATCACCATAACGCTGTGCAGTATATACAGGTGTTAAGTGTTATGTTCAATTAATTATTAATTAATTAATTTCTATAATTTAGAACATTGTCAAGTCAATTTATCCCATAAGAATTACTCAAGATATCAATTAACTGTTGTGGATCCGATCTGTGTATACATATGACTAAAAACTATAAACTTCCTGTCATCCACACCAGCTCTGTGACTGGGGTTCCACTCTTTCTGGGGATCATTTTCCAGGACTTTTCAGTGATGATAAAGCTGGTATGACGGAGAGGGATCACGCCATGCACCAATATGTTACTCTCTGTGGAAGTACGATTTAACCTTATCATCATCATCATTGTATTTTATAATGTTTTGTGCTCTATATGTGGAAGTGCTGTTGTAACATTGTCATTATTGTCAACATTGTCATTATTTTAAGACTAAAACATTCTTAAAAGGTATATTAACCATTGCTGCCTTAACACAAATAACACAAATAGTAGTTGAGTTTTAACAATTATTAACTGCCACTGACTCTTATCGGTTTATCACATCCTACTTTAGCCCCTTTACTAATAATATTAAGTTGAGTCTTTAACAACCACGATGAGCTCCTGATACAAACGTTTTGGGAAGCTCTGACAGATAGTAGCTCATTCTCTGAAAAAAAGAAAAACATGTTAGGGAAGTAAAGTTCCAGGACATTTAACTTTCATCTGTTTACCATAACTAGAAAACTGTTTGTGGTTCTCTGATTTAGGCCACACCAGCAAAAGCCACACTTCCTGCCATCATGCCACCAGACTGTCCTTATTCTCTGTTACTATCTCTATCCACTGAGCCTCAGGGTTAAAGACAGCTTTGCTTGATAAAGAAACTTGATTACACCTGTGTATCTGATATATCTCACCTGCTGGACTCCTGTTTGAACATGTCAATAATATTTTCAACCAGCAGGTTCCTCTGCAGCCCGTAAACACCGTGCCTATCCAGGACCACCTCATGTCTGCAGGACGGGCATCGGAAGCGGCCACCAGACGTCAACGAGCCACCTCTTGTTGGTAGGTATGGATTTGAGGCCTGTAAACAGTCACAATTCAAAACCCTAAAATTAGTATGATGGGCCTGACTAACAGGTGTAAATTCAAGATTTTTTAATGATTTATTACATTAATAACGTTTGTAAACACAGCTTTAAATGTTAATTTATGATCAGTTGTCACTTCTGTTATATATGAGAATATACACCGACAACTGATACTAGTTGGGCCTTTAATACCGCACAAATGTAGGGCAGGTTCATAAAAGTGGTTCAAATGACAAAGCCTGTTAGCTATAGATGTCAACATGTAACAACAGTGTTTCACAGCTGTTAATAAATACGTTTCTCTTAATACTAACAACAAATAAGTGGCTTTTTATCCGGTTTCTTACCGTGAAAATATCGTTGGCACATTTTCTGCAGAGGTTGTGCTGGCAGGGTAGAATCACCACAGGCTTTGTAAACATCTCCAGGCATATGGGGCAAATCAGCTGTTTCTCCAGGTTGTCCATGTTATTCATTGTTGACAAACGCTATTAAAGAGACATAAAACACTATAAAACTCAATTGTTTGAGACAACTAAAAGCCAGTAAAGTTAGTTAGGAGTCCGTTTCTGAAAGCAAATCTACAGTAGGCCCGAGTCAGGCTGAAGAGTAGGCCTGCTGCTCTCGTCCTAGCGGGTGTGGGCTCCTATCTCCCTGCTGTCAGTTCTGTTTTTAGCAGCTATTGCTGTCACGTCAAAGGTTACCGTGCCCATATTTGAAACTGAGCAGGGCAGTATTGAACAGCTGCCCACTAGCCCCTTCATCCTCCTCCTGACTGCTACCAGAGGGGACTGTGCGGTGTTTATATATGTGTTTTTAAAAAGGGTGGAGACTTTGCATCACATCTATGAATCAGTTAATGCATATCCCCCCTAATGTCTAGGTTTACAGAAATATTTGGGTTAAACTAAAATGCATCATCAGTTAAAACATGCACCTAACATTAAATGTTAAATGTATAATGAGCACATGATCGATTTTAATGATGAACAAAATCTTATTTTTAAACAATATTTACAAAAAAAAAGTATAAATTAAACAGTAAACAGATGTTTATTAGATAAACTAAGTTAAATTAGCATGACGTAACTTATAACTAAGTTAATTTAGATAACGTTGAAGAGGCTAGCCGGCGCCATCCCGGGCAGCCATCACAAGCGACATCAGTTCGCAGCAACTTCGCGTACTGAAGGGTCGACGACCGTGAGGCCTAACAGGTATTTTAACATCAATTAACCGCAAGAGTAAGGGGACATAGTTTTACAGAGCAATAAACTAAATGTAACGTCTTTAAAATTAGTAGTTAACAAGTTTTTTTGGTGCTTGCGTAATTGTTATTTGCACTTCGAGAGCCGGCTAGCTAAAGCTAACTTTATTTGTATTCACGACTCACTTATATCACCAAAGTTGCGAGTGGAGCAAACGTGTACGCACCAACCACACCTTATAAAATCCCCCTGCTTGTTATTGCTGCGGTTAGTGGAAAGAATATAACGTTAAAACATTTTAAAGCCGAAAAAAAAGTGTCGCTGGAGAATGCGGGCATCGATCC